CGTGTGTATGTTGTCACCGTGTCTCTGCTGTGTGTATGTTGTCACCGTGTCTCTGCCGTGTGTATGTTGTCACTGTGTCTCTGCCGTGTGTATGTTGTCACCGTGTCTCTGCCGTGTGTATGTTGTCACTGTGTCTCTGCCGTGTGTTTGTTGTCACCGTGTCTCTGCCGTGTGTATTTTGTCACCGTGTCTCTGCCGTGTGTATGTTGTCACCGTGTCTCTGCCGTGTGTATGTTGTCACCGTGTCTCTGCCGTGTGTATGTTGTCACTGTGTCTCTGCCGTGTGTATTTTGTCACTGTGTCTCTGCCGTGTGTATGTTGTCACTGTGTCTCTGCCGTGTGTATGTTGTCACTGTGTCTCTGCTGTGTGTATGTTGTCACTGTGTCTCTGCTGTGTGTATGTTGTCACTGTGTCTCTGCCGTGTGTATGTTCTGCGATCCACGTCCTTCCTTTAGACTCTAAATTCCAGTTGTCGTTTGTGTGATGACGGTAACCGATGCAGCCCCACGGTTACTTTCCTACACCACTGCTGGATGAAGAGCCTCCACCATCGGTGAGCTGTAGACGGCCCCTCCGGAGGGCACCGTTGGCCTACTCTTCCACGCTGGCAGCACGACCTGAAAGATGGTGGCTACCTAACGCTCATCCGACTCCACGCGGAATCGAAATCAGAACGTCGATTGTATGTTTACACTTCTTTCACACCGTACGTAACCAGCCGTGCTAACCGGAGGTAGGAGAATCTTTATTTATCCTGGCGTAATCCGATGAGCTATGAAGCTCTTTTCACAGATGTCCTGCCGACCGACTAACCGTGGTACTCTGTACCCATTCATGCTGCTGGGTAGGCAGAGGTGCGCGGGATTCAATAAACTTGCCATTTGTTTCAGGTGCCATCACCAGTGGGTTACTGGGCTTTAAATGTTGAATCATTAACATGTCTGCGTTTAATTTTAGTTTTCTTGTCATCGTCAGCAGCAGCAGCAGCAGGAAATGAACACCCGGACGTGGCTAAGTTTGAAGGAGGTTTCTGGTAATGCGGTGGTGGTGGCGGCGGCGTTTGGGGGGTGGCGGTGGAGAGGGGGGGGGGCACGTGGGTGATTGGCGGTTTGTTGTGATTGGCGGTTTTGGGATAGCGCACCGGCAGGTGCAGCGTAAGAGAAGGGCAGGTGACAGGAAGGACGCTCCGCTGCACGCGGCGTCGATTCACACGCTCGCCTCCCAACGGGGCGTCGTCGTCGCGTGGCGTTCATCGTCATCTGTCGGGCACGATCTGTCCGCCGCTGGATGAAAGCCTCCCCCCAATCCTCCGCCGTCCCTCAACGGTCTCGCAATGCCACAATCCCATTCGGGGTCCTCGCGCACGAGCTCGTCCCGACGGGGCCCCGCTGTCACGCTCTCCGGCGTGTCGCCTCCACTGCCCGCCGGTCCGTCGTTAGTCTCGACCACTGGCCATCAACTCTTGTTGGGGTAGCGCCTCACCTGGTACACAGGAGGTCGTCAGCTCGATCCCGACCCAGACGCCTGTTGTACATTTGGGCTTTGCATGTCTCTCTCTCCCCGTGGTCGCGTGGATTTTTTTCTCCAGGAGTCGTCCGGTTTTTTTCCCCTCCGCATTTAGAATTGACGTGCGTTCAGAGTATTCGGCTGCTACAAATTCCCAGTTAGTGGTAAGGCACTTCGTTGAGCTATATCATTTGTGATAGCCAGGTCTCTTTTGAAAAGGAGCTACGTAGCCACAGTGGGGCCTTGCCTCGTAAAGTAAATAAATAATAAATTGCCGGAGCCGTGTCCTACCCAAGGCCACTCACTTCTTCCAACATTCAGTATGATACGGACATTCGAACTTGCGTATGCTCTCTGATCCGCGTGTTCCTCTCTCAGTCCCACAGTGCAATTCCAAGCGTGCAGTTTTCCATTCTCTGTGCACTCTTCAGCGTTCGTGTCACATTATTTGCCAGTTGTCCATGGTTTTTGATCTGAGTCGTAACAGGTAATAGAGCACTGCGCTGGCACGAGTTTGTAAAACACCTCTTCTGTTTTCTTAACTCTGCGAAAACTCAATTTGCACGCTCGATTACACACACACACACACGCGTGCAATAATAATGTCATATATTTCCTCTCTTGTGTTTTTTCACTTGTCCTTTTAGTCTATTAACAAGCCACCCAAGTTGGTTAAATCAGCGGATTACTTCCCGGAATCTAAACTGCACGCTGTAAATGCATCTGTCACCGTCAAGCTCCACATTAACGCAAAAATACAGCGAGCATTTTCTTTTTTGGTAGCGCGCTAAACATCAACTTCGCAGCCGACGGAAAAATAAATAACCACCTGAAGCGTGAGATCATAAATGGTGGTTACTTTTAATAGACTGCGGTTCCAAAACATTTTTTTTTCTGGCGGCGGGGGGGGGGATTTCAGACGACATATACACAGCGGTACATTTTTGGACATTTAATATTTTTTGGGAGAATTTTTTTAAAGTTTTATCCCATTCGAAAATGGCCCCGATGCCATCTCTGGGAGTGTGCGTAGGATTCTTCTCGGTTAAATATTTTACGTGAATCGGAGTGGGGGAAACATCAGCTTGTCCTTAATTCCCTGGGCCACACTAGCGATCGGCGAACGTAATGCTCGTGGCTTTATGCCGAAGGTCAGCTCGCCCGGGTTTGCTCCAGCATTATCATAAATCTATCCGACTTTAAACTGAATACTTGATCCATTTCTCATCAGGCTTCTCCGCGCCGAGAAGTTTCGATTGAATTTATTTAACATTGCAGCCTCCTCCCCATTGGTGTAGATCTCACACACGCAGATATATGTCCACAGTACATGTAAGGATTTTGCAAACTCACGCAGATAGACGCCGCAGTGGTGAGATGTTAACTCCCTCGCCTGGTATACAGGAGGTCGTGGATACGATCCCGACCCTGACAATACCTGTACATTTGGAGTTTTGCATCTTTTCTCCGTGGTTGCGTGGATTTTTGTTCCAGGCCCTTGTCCGTTTAGAATATTTGTCTGCTATACATTTCCACGTGATGAGCCACTTCGTTGAGTTGTCATTTGTGGCCAGGTAGCTCCTGAAAAAGAGCTACATAGCTCGGTGGGCCTTGCCTGGTAAAATGAAATATATATTATATACATGTATTTTTTTATAGGCAGATAAGTTCGCGGCAATGAAACGACTGATTAGGTAGGCCCCACCCGCACAGCAACAGGAGAACTAAACAATAGTGACAATGCACGCACCAGGTTACTTTTAAACGGCAAGTGGAGCGCCCGTGACCATAACATCGGTTGTATCATCATGCCCTGCGTGTCACGTGACGTCGCCGCACCCGCGTGTATTAAAGGCACGCACGACGTTGTGCTTTTAATCGCCAACTCAACAAAAGGGGCAAAATTGTGGCCACGCTATTTTTTGCCACGATTTTGACCCAGTAGATCAGGAGGACGAAGCCAATGGGTCACAGTCACACCTTTTGCTGAATAGAAATCACCTTTTAGTTGCATTACATTTACGTTTGTTTTCAGCTTACAGACACACACACGCCATTCCGTCGGTTAAGTTTCCCATCCATTTAGAAAGAGTGTTCGAATTCGCGCCAAGTGCTCGATGTCCCACGTTTCGCTTCAACTCCTGACGTAGCTCCACAGCACGCAGGGCGAAACGTCGGACGTCGTGTTGAGCAGTGCGCGGTACGACCCGAGATACAGCACATTAACAACAGCGAAAACCCCACGCAGAGTAGTAGTTCTAGAATCGTACTACGATAAAAAAAAATCGATGCCTCGAGTTTTCTGGCTGGCTGCTTGCTGGGCTCCTGTCCACCCCATCAGTAACTCTGTTTAACTTGTAGTAGGAGACTTTCGTGACCAGTATTATCCATAAGACTTGTTTTGGGTTAGATGGCGTGAATATAATTGTATCTTTAAACCCGGCACCACCCGACACAGCCAATTAGTAAGGTTTTTACGTAAACAAAGCATTGCCAATTAGTTACTTGTTCAGCACACCGGTGTTCTTGGAGAGTAAACCCACAACATTTACCATTCGAGTACAACGTTTCACCGGTAATTACAACCAGCCTCATTAGACGACGCATTTTTATTCATGCCATCTAATTAAAAAAAAGCCTCTATTATGAAGTAACTCTGTTGTTAGTGGCTGCTTCGGGCCCGTTGCCACCGAAACTATCTGGGTAACTGGTTACACGGGATTTACCGTGTAACACATAGACATTGATTAGCGTTGAAATTGCAGAAGAAGATGACGTTTGGAAGACAATTAATAGATAGCAACACTGAAGAGGTGGGTGTAACAAAATACATAAGAATATTATTTAAAACCTAGACCATATATATCTCACAATGCATATTATCTTGCCATTTTAGTACGTAAAAAAGCGGATTACTTTTTACGTGTGTTGAACTTCTTTCGCACCGTATATAGCCATCCGTGCCAATCGGAGTTTTTAGGGTCGGCTTTGAGTATAGGATTAGTGAGAAGAGTAGAAAAACGACAGCAGCCTCTTATATTCCCTTTGCAGGGCAACGGGTTCTCGCCCAGTTGCTTTACAAAACAATGTGCGTTCACGCTGCAGGCAACGGGAGGAGACTCGTCAACTCCTTGCAGAGTGTTGGAGACGACGCGTAGACCATCGTGGAGGGTTGCAGGACGGAACGTGTTCATCCCGCCGCAGTGAACGCGCGCTCGCTCGCTCGCTCACGAGCGAGAGAGAGAGAGAGAGAGGTGTGCGCGGGGGCAATTTCCTCGCGTCCACGAGCCCCGCCACCTTCGCGGTCCACATTCATCTAAGGTCCTGGAGCCCCACACCATGAATTAATGAGCACGCCATCTGTGAGCGCGGTGGCCGGTGGAGAAGCCCTACATTGCTCCACGGTGGAGAGGCCATATTCTTGGTTCTTTCGGTAAAGTCACGCAGAAGGGAAACAATAAAATAATACAAATGTAAAACAATAAAATTCTCACGACGTTTCGACTGCAACACAAGCAATCATCATCAGGTGTGAAAACCACAGCAAGAGAGTCCGTCGGCTGTTCTCGCGAGCCCACTGAAGCTCACGAGCAGCGGCAAGATTCACCATGCTTTTTTTGGTTTTTATTTTAGACGTGGATTAATGGCTGTTGTACGTCCGTAAGATGAAATGGGCAGATTTGTTATATAATTGATTTTGTTATATTGCACTTGTTTGTCTGTGTGTGCGTTGTTGTTGTTGTGTTTCTAGATTTGTGGGCGTTTGGTTCACATGGCAACAAAAATGTTGAATGCACTGATGATATGTGAAGTGTGGATAACTTCAAATTGATGGAGGTGATGGTGAAAATATGATGTTGTCCTGATTCAAAAATGATTTGTGGAGATAAGGAAGCCATTGAACAATAATATTTGACGTTAAATGCAATAGCATTTCATTTGTTTGTGGACTTTAAAAGGCGACTATCAGACAGACAACAACGTGTACATGCAGTGCAACACTGAATGTGTTGCTATTGCATTGAGTTCCTTTATAAATCATCTCTTAAGTGTGGTATATCTCCAGTGCCCAGTCGTTTTACATTGTGCATGACCCTTACACATTTCACTATCAAGTGGCACTTTTGTTCCGTTGCAAAAAAGCAAAAATCCGACGGCTCGGCGACTTATTATAGCCGCGCACTGCAACTGAACGTGGGTTTATAAAGGGTCCGAATGCGGCCACATCTGAAAACGCCGCGCAAATAGGGGTGACGCATGAAAGGGGAGGATGATTGCGACGCTCATTTGGCGTTTTTTTTATTTTTTGTTCTCTCGTGTATCCGGTGCTCTGCGTGTAAAGTCGCTCGCGAAAAGCGTTCGCCCAAATAATACAACTATGGTGCCTCGAGGACGGGTGACTTCGAGCGAAGGAGAGCAAATGAAGACACTCCTGAAGTGACAGAGCCTGTCAGTCACGTGGGAGGAGATATGCCCGTGCGATGTACTTCTATGCGTATGTATAATTACTGATCAGGAAGGTGTCCTGCAGCGAGGGGCGGCAAGGTGTGGCTCAGCCCGTGTCGGGTGCAGACACGGGCTGGCATCAATCACCCGTGACTGCAACAGATGCCAACCATTAGGAATAACAGCGCATAAGCAGCGGCACAATGAGATACGGGCAATTAATCTTTTCTTTCCCCCCCCCCCCGCCTTTTTTCATTTAGCTGAAAACTAACACCCATCAGTCAGCGCAATAACCGCCTAAATCAGATGGGAAACATTAACGCAATTTAGATCCACGCGTTTAAAACAAACCAGAAAGAAAGAAAAAAAAAGGGCTGCCGTCCGAAAGGAAGCGTTGCCATCGGATTCACAAACAGAATCGGAATTGTTTCATTTATCCGGGAGAAATCCGATGAGCTATGAAGCTCTTTTTTTTCAACAAAGCCGAGCACGCATCGCTCTTCCCATTGTTCGTTCTCTTCCAGCCTCCGCAGAGGCTGCCGGGTCCTTGGGCCGCAATCGGCGGCCGCGCTCCCGTCTACTCGCGTCGCAGAGACGAGGCTGCTTGGCGTCGCGTCCTCCGCCTTTCTCCCCGACGCCTCCCGAACGACAAACCCTTCCCGTCCACCCGGACGCCCCCCTCTCCGCTTCTCGCTGGTCGCCTCCCGAACGACATCGCCATCACGGCACCGCCGCTGGACGTCGTCGGAGCGCGACAACCGATGCCGAGTGAGCGAGCGATCGGAACGGAGTCGGAGCGGGCTTCGCGGCCGAAGCAAGCGAGCGGAGAGATTTGTCGCCGTCCCGTCAAACTCCTTTTTGCCGCGACTCGTTGCGAGTGGCAGAGCAGGGGTCGCTCGCAGGGGAGCGAGGTAATGAATTCCGCACGTTGGGCCGCGCTCGCTGCACCGCGGCGTCTATCGACCTTCATCTCGCCCTTATGGGTTTGCAAAGCCCCTCGGGTGCAATCTATCAGCTCCCCTGCTCCCGTTCACCTTGATCGTATCAGTACGCCCCGTCCCTATTTAAATTTTAAAGCGGCTTCCTCTGCGCATCCTCCGCACAGCCGGGTTGGGGGAGGGGGGCGGTGGGGGGGGGGTTGGGGGGGTTGGCGGCAGTGATGGTGGTGGTGGTGGTGGGGGGGGGTATATTCCGGGGCGGTTGTGTGTGTGTGTGGGTGAGCGGGGTGGATGGATGGAACGGGGAAGAGAAGAAAGCGTATCGATAGACATTCCGAGCAAGGTCGCGCGATTGACGGCGTCTGAGGACCCTGTGCGGTTGTCTGCTCTAATTTCTGTTTGCCGTCGGCCTGTGTAGTTTTCGTTGTCGCCTCCTTCCTCTCTCTTGCGCGCGCGCTTCGCCTCTTCTGCGCTGTAGTTAAGAGGTGGCCGACACACCTCGGGGCTCATCACCAGCGCACTCGTGCGCACGTTGCCTTCCCCTCTCCTGACATCGCGTATACATCGTGCATGTTACGCGGCCGCGTGAAAATTAAAGCACGGGTCGGCCCTGCATATATGTATATCCCAGGGGAGGATCGAGAAAGTGCAGAAGCTCACCGGTACATGCACGTACACATGTATAATAAGTTGAGTTGTTGCAGCTTCAGCAAGCGCGCACACACGAGGTCCCGAGGAAAGGCTGCCCGGCTGAGAAGTAGAGATTTAGCGGTGGGTGAAGAAATTCTATATTTGTCGCTTGAGCCTTTGCTGCGTGCATCTCCGTTGTGCGCGCTTGTGCGGTAGTGTTGCGGTAAGTGCACTGCGCGTTCGATTCCCGCTCACGACCAAGAGCAGTGGTACAATATTGGAAACGATCCCGGCATGTCCCTAGGTCGGTTCGGCCTGAATTCGTACCTGGCGCGGTGTGTAAACACCACCACGGCGGAGACAAAGGCGGCCGGGCACGGTGTTGACCAGCCAATTCCCTCCGTCTGCCGCAGCGTCCCTCATAGGTGTTACTCACTAACAGCACTTGCCCCAACAGTCCGCTAAAGGCTATACGGGGGGATCTTTGTGTTTGAGTGCAAGCACGCACACGTTCATGTTTTCTACAAACCGGGATGAACTCCAGTAATCAATCCACACTGGGAGCTACCTAGCATTGCAACTGTGTGGTGTAGGCTGGTGTTGATGGGGCGTCACGGTGCATGGTGAGATCTTAACTCCCTTGCCAAGTATGCAGGAATGTCATGGGTTCGATCCCGACCCCTGACGCCTGCTGTGTATTTGGAGTTTGGGTGTGTCTCTCTCCCCGTGCTTGGAGTGAATTTTTCGACGGGTCCTCCGGTTTTTCCCTCCACATTTAGAAACACGCATTCCGAGTATGTGGCTTCTATTAATTTACACGCGATAAGCCACTTCGTTGAGAAATCACTTGTGATGGCCAGGTCGCATCTGAAAATGAGCTATATAGCTCGTTGGGCCTTACCTGGTAGAATAAAAAAAGTTTAAATTTACTAAATAAAGGAAGTCTGCATGCTGGGAAAGTAAGAGGTTTGCCATGAAAAGACAAAAATCAATTCATCGACGACAATCGATTTGTACACTTATGTCAGATGGATCGGATTGGGTAGTGTACGTGACAATTTAATATTCAGAATCAATGCAAGTTATTGCGCAAATGGTTGCCGATGTCACATTTTGTCCGATTTGTTATAGGCAACCGTCCCGACGAGATGGATACGAACTGAGAAACAGTGCAACTGAGATTATGAGCACAGGAAGAATGCGGATCAGTCCTTGCATTAAACGGCCACCCTGAATTGTCACAATGCATCGAATCGCTTGGCAGGGGGTGAAACGATTACGCGCCTCGAATAACGAGCTTCAATCGGTGGGTATTACATCCGATGGCCTGCGTCATAAACTCAGACGCCGGCGAAGAAAATCGAACAAAAGGTCAACAGTGAGCAGAGAAGGACGGAGAGGTGGACGCGTGGGGGAGTGGGGGGGGATGGTGGGGAGGAAGGAACACGTGGATCAGAGGAGCAAATGCAAGTTGGAGACAATCTATTGACCGTTGGTGAAATTAAGTGTGCCGTGGCGGTGGCGCGCACGTTGCTCGAGAGGATGACGATGGCGGGCGGTCGAGACCAATGATGGAGTGGCCGGGCCGAAAGGCGACGGCGCGCCCGAGAGGGTGGACAACCCCACCGCTGAGACGGAGCGCGATCGAACGCGTCTCGTGTGTGCACAGGTGCACCCCGCGGGGTCGTTGCGTCTCACGAGACCGTGACAGATTGCAGTGGCCTGGGGATGCCTTCATCTAGCGGTGGACAGATCGTCACCGGCACACAACGATCACGTGACAAACTTTACCGATTGGCTGTGTCGGGTGGTGGTGGGTTTTAACGACGCGTTTATATATTTACGCGATCGAAACAAAAACAAACAAAAAAAAACAACCCTGTGTTATGGACAATGATAACGATCGCAAAGGGCCTGTAAAGGCAAGGCAACGCTAACAAAAAAAAAATCAACCACGGTGACCGTGGAACATCTGCACCTTGGGATGGTGTGCGAGATTCTTTGTGGCGGGGCAGGGAAAAGTGCAAGGACCGGCGTTTGAGAGGCTGCCCCGTATATCAAGGCGTTAACCCACCCCCCCGCGCCACCCTCCCCACGTGTATATTCATATATTCCGCAGATATACGCGTGGATGTCTAATTTAACTACGGAGCCTCGTGGCGCGTGGTCCAGGTAGCCGTGGTTCGCTGGGGGGGGGGGGGGGGGGGTGGTGAGCTGGGGGGCCCGGATAAACCCGGGGAGGCAATCGTGGGTGGCGGGGTGGGGGAATTAAAAAAAAACCCTCAACGGACAAACCGCCAGAGCATCCACCCGTGCAGTGGTGCTGTGCAGCGATTTACGACAAAGGAGGCTCACAAGACCCACGTTAATTTAGCGACAATTAAAAAAAAATCAGCTTATGTCAGTGTGTGTGTGAGACTCCAAGCGAAGGGAAAATATTGCGTGTGTGCACCTTGTGCAAGAAGGAGGGTTGCTGGGATTTATTCGGTGATTATATTTTTGCGCTAAGTGTTGTCCCGTGGCAGTTTCGTCTGATGAGGACAAATTATTTGAAAGTATTTTATCAAACAGGTTCCAGCGATGAGTGTACCGATCGCACACAGTGCCGAATGAATGCATTGTGAATGCTCACTGTATAGACAACGCTGTGTTACAAACTTCGAATCTAGAGCCAAATCGTTAGTTTTTTATATCGTCTCAAAGAGCTATATATGGCTCGTGTAGGGTAACAGCAGCCTGTTAAATCGAGTGGGCGCGATTGCTTTAAAACTACGATGCGCCGGTCGCTATATATTGTCCAGAGTCAAGACACGCGCCGCACATTTGGGGCCACTTTACCAAAAAATAAATCCAAACCGCGTGTTGCATTCCGTCGTAACAATTGTTCTCGAGCGGACAAACTCTGGACCGCTTTCAACCTTCGGGGTCTCATCAGCATCGCAAAGCCCGTTTCACAACAATGGGTTGTGCGGTTGAATGGATCAGAGCAGATTCGAGGGGGGAGGGGGGGGTTGGTGGGTGGGTTGGAATTTTTTTTTGTCCAAAGCTGCGCTAACTGGATAGCGCAGGAACACGCGTGGTGTAAAAATAGCGCGCGTGAGCGCATAATACAATACAGGAACGTCCCGTATGCCACTGCTGTTACCTAACACTCGGATGGATATGATCTCGAGATTCACGTTGACCCAAGACGACAGGTCAGAGCGCCAGAACATGCCGTATTTGTGCAACGCCTGCCCGTATGTTTTGCATCTGGAGCGTGTTTTTTTGACACGGTGCACAGATCAGATAGACGTTTAGCACGATGCCGATACTTTTAAAGCACACCTCAGGTCAAGACTTTCCATTGCAAAACCATAGAGCTCGAGGGCATGGGATTTTTTTTTTGCAAGCCGGAAAACATTGTTGAGGGCCAGCCTGCCATGATCACGTTGTTACAACCTGCATCCACTGTGCCTTTATCTACCGCAGGGAGTGGGGTGGGGGTGGAAGATGCGGGGGGGGACGAGACTTATATGCAGGCATGGGTTGGCCGAAAAAAATAAATTTTATGTAGCTATTTTTTTTTTTACTTTACTTTGAAAAGTTACCAACAAAAGCCGTATGCCAGCCATTGGGTAATGGCTATCCAGCTGGACTCGCAGTCAAGAGGTCGCCGGTCCTATCTCCTGGCGCGGCAGTTGAATTTACGCTGCAGGTCGCTGAATCCCAACTTCCTCTGTCCACCCGGCAGTGTGACGCGGTGCTGACGAGCGAAGTGGTGCAGAGTGCGCTGTGAAGTAGCCGGTGGACTCGAGTTGAATTTTCTGGCTTGCGACTGCTATCAGCGAGCAGTTGATAACTTCACTGGTCCTTGGCCTCCCCCCCCCCACTTTAACCAACCTTAGACCACTGAGCTAAGAAGCATTTTTTTTAATCTGCAGAGACCAGCGCGGTGAAGCATAGTCAAGCAATCGCCGTGACCGGCACAACGTGATGAAGTCTTTACCCTGCATTAGAGTGGCAATGCGATAAATGATTATTGTTTTACAGTTTAAATACCTTGCAGACGTAGTGAATGAGAACTGGATTAGCAGCAACAACAATTCCTTAACGTCGAGTAAATGTCTCCCACGTCTAATTGGGCACCCGGCATGGGATGTGCAAACCACCCATATAGCAGTCGTTGACCCGAGCCCCAAGGGAGGGGCAGCGGAGAGA